GCAATATCGAACGGTTGTGCCTCTACAACAGATGATGGAGTCTTTTACGGGTGACGCGTTGGCGCAAGACGAGGACATGGAAGCCGATGACTTCATGAGCAATGCTGACCTTGTAGAAGACGATCTCCCGACCAATCTTGAGTTTGTTGGAAGCATCTACAATTCACAATCTTTGCCAACTGAAGAAGAGATGGGAGATAGTCTGCTCGGTGAGGATGACCTTGGTGCATTGGCGACACCCCCCACCACCCGCCAACGTGGCGAACGGGCACTACTGGAAAGCTTCCAAGAGAAATATGAAATCACACAAGGCGAGGAAGACTTTGACTTTAGCGAAGAGTATTTCAGGGACGCAGACGCGGAACAAAAAGGCAAAGCTCGAAAGTGGGATTCTGCCAAGAACCAGTACCATCTTTCGAACGAGTTTAAATCTCCAGATGCGCCACTCAAGGTTCGCGTTCGGGATGTCAATGTCATCTGGAATCTTTACGATGGTTATGACTGGCCAAGGACGCGCAGTATCATCAGCCAAGCCGTAGATGATGTTGAAGCCCGCGCCGAAGAGCGACGACGAAGAGTCAGGGAAGAAGATGAGGATGATGACTTTGTCGAGGAAGATTTCTTGTTCAACTCCGTATGGATTGGTGTTCCTGTAAAAGACGAGAAGGGAGCTCTTGCTCGGCGTATCAACCACGATATTGACGACCTAGCCAGTGAAACCGGTAGTTATGCCACCTCGACGGCGACACGCTCTACAGGGGCTACCACTCGAACACGTGGCACAACCAAGTCTAGACGTCGGCTCAAGCTGGAACGAAGCAAACACAAGAAGATTGCATTTTCGCTTGTTGGTGTTGCAGTCGACCTTATCGTCTTTCCGCCGAACTCAGGAGAGACGATCAATTCAATAAACGTGCGCGTGCAAGACCTTGAGGTTTTCGACCACGTGCCTACATCGACTTGGAAGAAGTTTGTTACCTGTGCAATTGATCCAAGCACGCGAGAGCTCATTCGCCCTATGATAAATCTCGAACTCGTTACAGTCAAACCAGTCACGGACTTGGCAGCATCTGAGCTCGTAATAAAGGTAGGGTCGAAGTTGGATAGATAGACGGCATATTCTAACAAGATCAACAGGTCACCATACTTCCGCTTCGACTCCATGTGGATCAAGATGCTCTGGATTTCATCACGCGCTTTTTCGAATTTAAGGATGATTCTGTACCGGCTCCCCCTCCAGCTGGTGATCAGCCATTTATCCAGCGTCTCGAGGTTATGGCCGTCCATTTGAAGCTCGACTATAAGCCAAAGCGTGTGGACTACCGCGGTCTTCGTTCAGGCCACACTACCGAGTTCATGAACTTTTTGATACTTGATGGTTCTGACATTGTCCTGCGACACGCAATCGTTTACGGTATCACATCATTTGACAAGTTGCACAAGACATTGAACGATGTATGGACGCCAGATGTCAAAGAAAATCAACTTCCGGGAGTTCTTTCTGGTTTGGCAGCTGTGCGACCGCTGGTAAATGTTGGCTCTGGACTCAAAGACCTCGTTGTCATACCGATGCGAGAGTACAAGAAGGACGGCCGCATCGTGCGCAGTTTGCAAAAGGGCGTCTACGCTTTCGCCAAGAACACAACTTCTGAAGTTGCACGCTTGGGCGCAAAGGTAGCGATTGGAACCCAGAATCTGCTCGAAGGCGCAGAGGTTTTCCTCAACCCCCAAACAGCCTCGCCCGGTCGCCACCAATCCCACGAATGGGACGGCGAAGATCCAAACTCTGATTCCGAAGAGCCGCGCGCAGTATCAAACTACGCAAACCAACCCATCGGTGTACGCGCCGGCCTACGCAGCGCAGCTAGACACCTCGAGCGCGACCTGCTCACTGCACGCGACGCCGTCATAGCCATTCCAGCAGAAGTCATGGAAGAAGGCAGCGGAACGGGAGTAGCAAGAGCGCTTGCTAGACATGCACCCACGGTTGTCCTACGCCCCGCGCTCGGTGCCACAAAGGCACTCAGCAACGCCTTGCTGGGTGTCGGTAACGCGCTTGATTCCGACTCGAGACGCAAGATTGAAGACGTAAGTTGGCTACCTCCGTCTTTGGTATCCAAGATGGCCAAGAAGCTAATGATGACTGCAGAAATACAAATCTTATTAGACGGTCGACATGAGAGGGTTGTTACTATCCCATTGTGCTTTTTGGACCATGAACGAACACCTTGTTGCCTTTATGGCTATACCCTACTCTTTGATTATTATTGTTGTTTTTTGGGGACTTTTTTTGATCTGGTCAGATTGCGTGCATAGCGACGGATGGGAGTTTCAGGATGCAAGGACGGAAAGGAGGCGTCATATGTTGATTCTTATCTACGCATGTTTTTTGTTGCTTTTTCCCCCTGCTTTTCTGCTCTTTTTGTTCGACTAGCATGGAGTAAATGCCATTATGCCTTTTTTCCCTATCTCTCTCTCTCTATCTCTCTTATTTCGTTTACTGGAACCAACTTCGTTTACATTGCAGTCAGTTTGAGTATATCCTCCACCCCACCTCCTCGCTTTCCAAGACTAGAATGAGATATACCGTTTCGATGCTTTTGCAACGTTTGTTGTTCTTGGGAAATTCGTCATTGCCATCATGTGATTGTCATTTGTTTTCACATGCGCTCGTTTCGGCATGAGGTAATGACACCAGGCAAATGGGAGGACGGATTAGTGATCGGAAAATCAGCCGCCCCTGCTTATGTTTTGAACCGAGGAAGATTGGGGGAGAACATTGCCGAGATCACGGGACGTGGGATGGATTGGGGGGGTTTATATAAGTATAAAGTGCCAAGGGAGAGGCATAAGAAACCTGCGGAAGCATCGGGTAAGATTGCAGCTTTCTCAATCACGCAAAACACTGGATTACAGGGAGAATGAGAATCAAAGTGAGTCATAAGTTCGTTATTTGATTTCGTGAATACTAAGTAGCAACCAGACGTCATTCAAAATGGTGTCGCTTGATACGCTGCCCGTGAATAAAGTCGAAATACACAAGGTTTAGTAGGTATATCTGAAGCCCTTCTGGTCGCCATCCTGTTGAGAGTTGTTAATATTCGTTCGGACAGATACAGCAAATAAGAGACAAGACTTACATCGTTGTACTCGAGCTCAATCTCTCCACGATCGGCACGCTTGTTCAAGCTCCATGACCTCAGTGTGATGAGGCCGACAAGGATAATTGAAAACAGGCAGCAAGCAATGCAAGCGTAAAGACCTGGCTTATAGTGGGGCGCATCTTGTGTCCTGAAAACAAGACCTCCTGCAATACCGCCTACTCCACCCATACCGACAAGAATGGCGGAGCAGAAAGCACGCTTCCATTGACCCCTGATGTTGTTTGCCTGGTACGACATGGTTGCTGGAATGTTGCTGTTGGCTCCGGCAGTGGTGAGGAAGACGCCAAAGTACCTGATGTTGGCGTTCTTGTGGAAGCCCATGATGGGAAGTCCGATGAGGCAGAGTACCATGTTAGCGATGATGATGGGTCCACGGATGCGGTACTTGTCGCCGAGCCAGCCAGTGGTGTACATGACGATAGCTGCCAAGGCGTACGGGGGAGCAACCAAGCACTGAGCTGCGCCGACTGAGAAGCCCATGTTTTGTGTTAGGATGATGGGAAGGAAGTAGGCAAGAGCATAGGTGACGGTGGTGGTGTTGAAGAAGATCTGGGCGAGTTAGTATGCAAGGTCACGGATTTCTACTGTGTATGCTTGAAAACATACCAAGGCAAAACCCCAGATCTTGATGTCGGCTCCACCCTTGAGGAACCTGGCAAGAGAGAATGGCTCGGGCTTGGCATCACCACGATCCCTGTTGACACGGTCGATGATGAACTTGGCTTCTCGCTCGTTCAAGAACCTCCAGCTCCTGTGTGCCTTGTCTGGGAAGTCGACGAGGGCCCAGTAACCGACGATACCAAGGAAGCATGTAAGTGCGCCTTCAATGATGAAGATCCCTGCAGGAAGAATTAGATGCCAGTGTCTCTTGGGGGAATGCGGTTACGGAGAAGGAACTCACAGCGCCAGCCGTTCAAGCCCTCACGTCCCTTGAGCTGCATCAGACCATAGGCGAGGATACCAGCACAAGCGGAAGCCAGACTGCCGAGGATGTAGAAAACCGAATACCGTTTTCCAATATCGAAGCGAGTGTCTGTAAGGGGTTGTCAGTATCGGGTCAAGAATTTGTGGAAAGGGGCCTGCGTACACCATGTCGACAGCAGATAGACACAGCTGGGGAAGAAGCCGGCTTCTAGCACGCCCAGCAAAACTCGCAGGCCAGCCATGGTGCCATAGTTGTTTGCAAAGCCCATGCCAATCATGACGCCACCCCATGCTACTACGATAAAGGAGAGGAAGTTGCGTGGTCCAAGGTAGCGGCAGATGACAGTGGCTGGGGGCTGGAAGACAATATACGAGGCGAAGAAGACGATGGTGATGATCGAGTAGTGGGAGATTGAACCCTCGAGGACATAAAGTTTCAATTCCGCAGTCATACTGGGAGGGATTAGCTTGGCGTTGAAGCAACAGCAGCAAGTATGGCTGGTACGGACCCGGCAATGGCGGCAGCACTCAGATTGGTGCGATCCATCAAACTGATGCAATACAGGACGCCGACAGTCACGACAAGGCGACAATCGATGCGGTGGATGATCTTTCTCTGCTCGCGCTCGGTAAACTCGCACTCGTAGGGGACGCCATCTTGGGAGCCGTCGATGTTTTCCACGAGGGACACCTGCCGCTTCTCGAGGATATCGTCGTTATGTGAGACCTGGTTGGGGGAGGCCATTGTGGATTGCCGGGGTGGGGGATGGAGGAGAGAGGTGGACAGGCTGAAAGATCGAGACGGGGGTGGATGATATATGTACGCACGTAGACATTTTGTCTATGTGTGTAGATACGGCCATGGCCATGCTAGTCGCAGCTCCTGACATTTGCCTGCCTGCCTCCCCCGCCATGGCACCCTGCCAAGAGAGGCAAGAGAGGCAAGCGCAATGGGAGCGTTCTTTCTGTGTCGAGAAAAGTACCGAGGCACAGGGCAGCATGGGCCCTTCGCCGCTCGCAAAAGAAGAAAGAACGCCGCGGGCAGGCACAAAACGCTGGCTTTACGGAAGGCGCAAAAGCTGGGGAGACGCTTGGCATGTGGGGACCCCGCATGCTGCTGTCCCCCGTCTCGCCCGCCGTCGACAACAAGACATTCCAAGCAAAGCCGAAGTCGTCTTATACTCATTAGCGCCTGTCTTGTTATCCACTGTATCCATGCTGCCGACAGGAACGCGACGAGCCGCACGCAGAATTCACCGAGCTGCCACCGACCGCTCTCGTTCTTTGTCCGACCTCTCGACGCTGTGTCACCCGGCCTCCTTGGAATGTGTTTCGACCACACGCGCGGGGTACTCTCGCTTGCTGCTGCTCCACTGGGCCCATTTTCATGCTCAACATCTTGTCCCGACTTGGACACTGCTCCGGAAGGCGTCGTCCCATGTGTGGCTACGAGCCGCATGCGAACAAGGGCGCATTGCTGCCATGGGCCGCGCCCCAAGCCGCCGGTCCCTTGGCATAGACATCCATGTGTCGTCATCTCGAGCCTTTCAAGTGCTCCCTGTCGTTGCCTCTCCCTGTGATGGGTGTACGCGACCTGTTTGTGCAACCCCGTGGGCCATGACAAACATGCAGGAACCGTCGAGTTTGTCTCTTCGACACAGCACCAACCGGCGCGCCTTTTGGACACTCGGGCATTCGGGGCCCTCGGGGAGATACTAATGGCCTGCAGGGTGTCGGTTGCTGTTAGTTAGTCAACTCGGCGCCATACCGCCCTTTGACAGCTGCACTGTCCTCTCCCACATCCGTATTCTGGCCTGATTCGCCTACCGCTGTCCCTGCCCATTGATCAGCAGTCTCCACGATCTAGTCACGCATCCAAAAACTCCGGCTAAGGAACTCCTTTGATTTCCGTCACTACGCAGGGTGCCCTCAGCAATACTTGTTTGCGTTTAGATCTGTGGCGCAATCACCCCACCCTATGCGTCTTACTGGCTGTTGGTGAACATTCGTATCCCATCATGTCCACGGACTGGAACCGCTGTGAGGCCTCCATCAGCCATCACAAGCAGTAGTTTCTACACATCAAGCTGAGTCGTCAGGTCTAGCCGATATTCTCGACCCATTATCGATCTTTGACGCGAGACTAAGGCCCCAACTGCATTTGCCAAGCGGCCATCTCAGCTCTGCCCTGGAAAAGGCGCCACCCTAGTCACTGAAAATCCACGTGTAATTGCCTTACGAACCAGCCCTTTACAAGTGGCGATCCTCGTCTCGTATCCTGGTGGTTGGGAGCCCCCAATGCGCCTCTACCCCGGATTCTCCCTCGACTACAGATTTAGATAAACAAGTCAGTCTCCTGCTTCGTCCAATCACACCTCAGAAGCTGATACACTAGCCGAGGCATATGCATTCTCTCAACACCAAGCTATGCTGGGAGCCCTCTCAGATGATGCCTATAAATTCCGAACCAGCACCATTCACCCCTCCATATTCGTATATTTAAGCTTAAATAAAGGACTATCTGCCAATAGCAATGGGGCAATGGGCCGAGGCACTTTCCCTCAATGTCTTCCAGCCACAATACCCACCGGCTTGCAGTGTTGAATCTACGGCGACCAACAATTACCCAAGAGATCAGTGTCTTGGAAAGGTGAAATCAGAGGGTACAGGGTATATACTGTCCAATGGGATTGCCAAATGCTGTTCACATTCCGAGGCACGGAGCTCGAGACATGGGGTAGCCAATGTAGTGGGTGCATGGTGAGTAAGCCACAATTGCTAGGTGTTGCCACGGAGGTGGTTGGGCTAATATAGTCGCCCATGGGCCAGAAGCTTGTCTTTTGTATCTCGTCATGCTAGTGTTCTAGACAACTATTTCTCTTACTCATCTAACTTTCTGTCATTGTGATGTAGCATGAAGTGGGTTTGAACAGAGACCTGAAACCTCAAGATTTTCAAACAGAAAGTCTCATGTCACGTCTTTTTCAAGGCTGTTTAGAAATACGCATCTACTATTGAATCTCCTGTCGGGACTTGCTCACTGCCTCATATCAATAGTGTTATAGCGTACACCCTTTACTCCATAGCAAACTCGTCGTCGTATCCAAAGCCTCAACTCCCACCTACAACGTAAACCTCTTGCCCGCCTCCGTCGTCGGGAAATAGTGTGCGGCATTTCCCTTTTGCTTCGGCATCTGAAACCTCTTTACCACCGTCGTATGCAGCAGATACAACAACGCTAGCCTAACCGGCACAGTACCGTTCTTCTCATCCAGCACCTCATTGTGCTTAATCGGGTCCGAGTAATTAATAGACGGCTCCACTATCGTATACACAAACGCAACGTGCTCCGGTTCTCCCGGCTGCGCTACATTCATCTTCTTGCCCTTGTGCACAATGGCAAAGCGAAGAAACATGATCTCGTCGCTGCTGACTAGAAACCCGTATTCTGTGTTGCACTCGAGCATCCAGCGCGCTATATCGCCTAACCACCACATCTCTCAGTCTCTCATCTTCATCATCAAGTGCATGGAAGAAAGGGGGGGGTCGTCTTACCTAACACACACCGCAGACTCCCCCAAGTATTCCTTCCCGCATTCCTGATCGCAGACGTCAACGCACCCGGTTTTCCCCCAAGATACTCCGCATGCCCCAGCATCCTCACTTCATCCTCTCCACTTGCAGCTTTTGAGCGAATGATAAAAGCTGGCTTGACGCCTTTCGCAGCTAACTCCTCATTCTGCGCCCCGCTCTCGAGCCAGATGCCCTGCGGCATGTTGTCGCTACATATATTCCGCATAACCTGCGTAGTAAGTAGCGAGTTGTAAATCTTCTCCACGGGCTGCAGGACTTCGTGCGAGAAGTGAGCTTCAAGACTCGCTGGGGCGGGGAGTGAGGCATATGGAGACGGGAACGTAGCATGTGACATTTCGACCTGGAAGCCATAGAGTTGGCGGAAGGCTTCGACGCATTGTTCGTGGTTGAAATACTCGATTGCTTCGGATTTGAAGGATTTCCAGAGGTACACGTAGCCTAGGTACCAATGCCGTCTTGCGTCGGCGGGGAGGAAGAGGGGGGCATTCGCGGTGGGTGAGGGGAGGTAGTTGGAGCGGAAGGGTTGGAGGATTGCTGCTCGGGGGGAGTGGTGCGGCATGTCTCCACATGGGCTCAAGCGGAGGAAGGTTTGTGATGAGTCTGGAGACGTATCTTCTGGGGAGCCATAGTGGAACTTTGGTTCCGTGGTGCTGAAAAAGGGAGGGCCTGAAGGGGTCCCGATTGAGGGTTCACGTCTGCGTCTGCTTGGTTGTCCGGTAGGCGAAGAGCTTGCTTCTCGCTTTCTAGACTAGCGGTTAGTATATAATTTGCAATAAGATGGTACTAGGTATTTCTTTTACCTGTTTTCAGGCTGTGTGTCGGTATTGTAATTTGCACTTGTGTCTCCAAGTGCGTCACTGATCATTGCTTCGTAAAGATTGACTGCTTGGTGCGGAATCTAGCCGCAGCTTTCTAGCAACATTTGTGCTATGTTCATGTCCGCAATCCTGGTAACATTTACGAATGAATTTAAGATGGTCCGTTGCTCCACAGTTAGATTTTCTAACGATTCGTCGGTCTCCGGTGGGGTTTCTTCTTTTTTGAAAGACATGGCGAAAGTGGATGTTGCGTTACGAGAGTATTGTTAACGATGGGATGATTGAAGGGGGTGATTAACGATGAAGACGCCGAATACAATGTTGGATGTTAGTGGAAAGCGGATGAGCATGATATACGTTGCCCATTTCAGTCGGCTCTTGTGTACCTGCTCTAAGAAAAGTGATTTAGAAGGGTAGGTGCTTGTTATTGGAAGGTTACATGCCCACTGTTTACGTATTCGGGTGGTTCCTGCAATACTAGTGCCCATCTCAAGAAGACTCCACTGGTTGCTGTCGGATTCGATACTCATCTCATGTAGGTGAAGTTGCCATTTTTTCCTCTTAGAAGCTGAGCATCTGAGATACTACTAAACAATATTAAAACTGGCCGCTGAATGGCATAACCACTTTCAGATGCGAAGAATGTCTACACCCCGTGGTCTTAACGCGTACATCGTTGATTTGATAGGCTATAACGGAATAAGTAATAAAATATATCACGCGATATATTTCTATCATGGCATTAGAATGCCGAGTCACTCATTGGCAACCAATTTGAATGTGAAATATCGCAATGAAGTAAGAGCACTGGTTGTGACACCATACCACATGCCAACAACACAAAATAAGGCAAAGTACACATTCTGGTCGAAGAGTAACAGCACAAACAAAATATATCGACACAACATTCCAAGGACATCCAAGGTTGCAAGGAAGAAGTGGGCACCCCATGAATCTTCCAAGCTTTAACCGAACCGTCCCGCAGCTGCGCTCCGCCTATGACACCATCGCGCGGACGAGAGTCCCGACATCTTGTTTACACCACCAAAGCATGATTCCAATGCGGGCGCGTTTAGTGTCCCTTGCAGCCGTTTCAACGACTCCCTACCCGCCAATCTGAAGTGATGTACGCATTGACACTGGCTGGCATACCAATCGCCATAGGCGCAAACGAAGCCGTGCACCAACAACGGCTTCTAGACGAAGAAGCAGAGGCCGAAGAGCGCCAGGAAGAGTTTTATCTCGACGTCTTTTGTGATGCGAAAAGCAGAAAGAAAGATGAGGTGCACGGTGCGATTGTCGTTTTGAAAGATGGAAAGGTACGAGGCACCCGCTTCACAACCTGGCGCAACACAGCATTACAAACAAGAAACATATATGGCAACATGCTAATAGATGTACAGATACGCCTCTGGGCCAAAGACCCAAAAACAGGTCTCCCAAAGCCCGGTCCAAACAACGAGCCAGCACCCCACCCATTCACAGGCTTCTACCTACCCTTTCCCTCCTCTGAACTCCCGCACCGCCCCATGCCCGCAGCCCCAGTCCTCGGTCTCGTCAGCACCGTGCCACCATCTTCGCATCCATTTCCCTCCTCACCAGAATCATCAGCCCCGTCTACTCCGTCTCCCGCCCCCAAAACCGCCCCAAGACCCGCGAAACCAAAACTAAATTGGATCTATGCGCACAGAAAGACACGCGAGTTGCGCTATGGACCGCGGTCTGAAGCAAAGAAGCATAAAGTCGGGTCGTGGGATTGGACGGAGGATGAGCAGGGATTGACGCTGGATGATGAGGAGTGCCTTGTTGCTGTGGAGGAGGAAAAGGGAGGATATGGGTGGGCTGTGTATTGGGATCGGGAAGATGATTGTTTGAAGGAGGTGGGGGTGGGCCAGGAGAAGAGGGTGCTGAGGTGTAGTTTGGAGAGGAGGCTTGTTGAGGAGAAGAGGATTAAGGGGTTGGATGAGGATTGAAGTGAAGAGGGAATGATATGGCTAGTGAAAAGATGAGAGGGTGGGAGATTCAATGAGGAAGTGTCGATAAGGTTCGGGCATCACTTGTCGCGTGCTTGATTCGATTCGCTGGTGCTGGTAGTCAGTCGCAGCACTCATAACTTCTCCCAATGTGATATGCACACATTTGCCATGTCTTGAATCTCTTCCATAATCAGCGTATCATGACCATACTATGCAAACCTTCTGAATCATGTCTCGAAAACAAGTACCCATGTACCAATACCTGGGCTATTCGTTGTTACTTCTCCATACGTCTGTGAGCATACGACTGTGTTCGTCACGTACAATATACATAACAGTAGTCCCAGTCTACTATCCCATGTTCCAGTAGCCACAGCCGCCCACCCCTCCCTCCCACCATCCGATCGCAGAACAATCTCACCAGATCGTGCCACATCCGTCGCTCCCTCGTACCGCGATTCCAAGCAAAGTGCATCGATCACCCGTGCGCGATTCGATTCGCGCCATCTGGTAAGCGGGTCGTCGCGCGCGCGTCGCATGGGATCCCTGTTGCTGTGCCACACAGGCGCGCGTGGTTTCCCCGGCAAGACGCAGGGACACACCCACAAACGCATAAACACAACAACACACACGCCCAAATAGTCCATTTAGTAGTGGGGTCGTTTGCCAACTCGAACATTGACAACTGCGATTTACGCTTTTTCGCCTCTCCCCCTTATTTAACGAACATCCGTACGAGAAAGTGCAGAAGTTTTCTTTATTCCTTTTCTGCCAACCTTGCTGCATCTTCCTTCTCCCTTTTTTTGCGGCTAGTAGCTGGATCTCAGGGTAGTCTTTGCAGTGCATACCGGACTTTTCTGCGGTACCTGGTAGCAACCTTGTGTGGAACCTCTTAACGGCGTGTACGACTTTGAACGAACAGACATAATGGCTCTCTCATCGAATGGACGAGGAAACGGCCCCAACGCCAACGTTGCTCAACGGTACGTCTCCCTCTCTCTCTCCTCCTTCACCCTCACCCAACCGCCCGCATATAACTAACTCACATATTCTCAGCCTCCAAAAGGAGCTCATGGACATCATGACCAAGCCCACACCCGGCATCACAGCCTTCCCAGACGACGAAAACATGACCAAGTGGACCGCCACCATCGACGGCCCCGCAGACACACCCTATGCCAACCTCGTCTTCAAACTCTCCATGGAATTCGCAAACAACTACCCGTACAGCCCGCCCACCGTGCTCTACAAAACCCCCATCTACCACCCCAACGTCGACTTCTCGGGCCGCATCTGCCTCGACATCTTGAAGGACAAGTGGAGCGCAATCTACAATATTACCACTGTGCTGTTAAGTCTGCAGAGTTTGTTGGGTGAACCGAACAAGTAAGTAGTTGTAGTTCTTGCTTCATGTCATATTATTTCATGTTATGTTATGTCAAGCAACATGAAGAAGAAGGAGAGCAAGAAGCGCAAAGCAGCGGATACATGTATAGAGATGAACGGAAACTAACAAACATACAGCTCAAGCCCTCTAAACGGCCAAGCCGCAGAACTCTGGGACAAGGACCCTGCAGAGTACAAGCGTCTCGTACTAGCTCGCCACAAAGCACCCGAGGAACTAGACGTCTGATCGATCCACATGGTACACACATACATACATACATACGTACGTAGTAGTAGTATATGGCGAGACTACACTATTCCCTTTCAGTCTTTCCGACCCGTCCCTCTCCACATCGCATGTTCTTATCAAGTCGGAGTTGGTCGGAAAGCGGGATCTCTCGGGGACCATCGGTGTATCTCTGGGGTTGGGTTTTTTTTTGTTGAGCCGGGGGAATTACTTACTTGTCTCTCTGGCACATGTCAACGTTTTTTTAGGGCCCTCGGCATATGGTGGATGATGGTGTGATATTCGGTCCGGTTTCTGCTTCTTCTTTTGTTTGTTTGACGCGCGCCAGACTGCCCCGATGAACGGAGGGGGTTTGTGTGGGTCTCTCTCTCTATTCTTCTTGGGTTTTCTTGGAGCAAAGGAAGAAGAAGAGAATATAAGGCGTTGGTGGCGTGAGAGTGAGTGTGGGAAGGGGGGGGGGGGTTAGCAAAACAGAGAGTTTCTCATGCATTTAGCCTGAGGAAGGGGGGGTTTTTTTTATCGAGGAAAGAATGGGGGACGTGAGGTCTACTTACTACTTAGGCAAATTTGCAAATGCAATTGCTTTTCTTGTTCTCCTTCTCTCTATCTCTTTCTTTCTTGCTTTGATTTTTTTTTCTGGAGGTAACAGAGAACTCTTGTTCCGGCGGTATCATCATTATCATCAGCAGCAGCAGCAAAAGAGGCTTTCGATGGTCTTGTCATGTTCCCTTTCTTATTGCCAGTATAGTAGGGGCAGGTAAGACCGGGGGGGCATGGGAAAGCAGGCAAAAAAGAGGTTTACTGCCCACATTGGGAGGAGGCGGCAGCGGCGGCGGCAGCAGTCCACGCTCCTACTTTCTTATAACCTTGAAAGCCACGCAACTCTCTAGCAATGGAAACGCGGGTTGATATTTACCCTTTTTCAAATTCCGTTCGGGTAATGATGCCTTATTTTGAGGGTTCAGTTTTTTTTCTTTTCTTTTCTTTTTTCGCTCTTCGCTCGGGGGATGAAGGAATAACTCCGCTCTACACGATAAGTATGTAGGTCCACAAGTGTGCAACTGTGGCATTACGTATGTATGTGTGTGTGTGTAGAGAGAAAAAGAAAGCCCCGTGGTTTCCGCTAAAAAAA